TACCATTTGTATTTTCTTAGCTTTTTTTTTTTTTACATTAGACAAATTCTCCCACATCAGAACTTAGAACAGGGGAATCCTCTTCTAATGCATTTGAAATAGTATCACTTCGGAGAATGAATTCACCTCGAGCACAAAGCTAATTTTTATCTAAGCTAGCTCTTTTGCAAGCAAAATAGGACTATAGAATGAGATAAGGAAAATGTTAGTTCTTTATCACTCATGTAACAAATCTCTTAATAATACAGAATGGCATGTTAGTTATTTCTAGTGACAATATTAGGATGATAATGAGAAAAGAAAACCATTATATATTCATTCTCCTGATAGGTTTTACAATAAGATTGGGGACAAAGAAATTAATCAATCACACTTGGCCAAAAGGGAAATAGGAATTGTAAGAAGAATCTTAGAAACAGGAACAAAAAAAATCCACTTTGCTGGAACAAGTTCAATTCCTATCCACTTCTGAAGACTCTTATCAAGCTCTTATCAGAATCTACTTACACTGCTGTTCCTTGCTCTCAAAGTCTCCTATCGATTGCCACCTCATCAAAAAGAGCTTCTACTGGTTATCATTCCTTAACTGGCCCTACAGTGCAAGTACAGGGCCCAGGTTCTCTTGGCTCCCTTGACCATCTCTTGTATCAACAATCCCAGAATTAAAGTAAAGGAAATGGCCTTTCATGGGAAAGGATGGAATCCTAAGTGTGGAACAGAAGCCTAGGATTTAATTATCATTGTCTCAGGAAATTCATTATGTGATGCTTGTAATTACACTAGGAGATATTATTTTGGTGAAGTCGATTCTCTTTAGTGGAGACTAGGTATTTATTCTTTATAGTGATAGTGCAATTATCTAAGATTGCAAAATTGAAGCTTATAGGCTTATGTTTATTTTTATGTTTTAAAAAATTGGGCTAGTTACCCAATTTTAAAATATTGTTTGTGACGGTATTAGGAATTCTGAAAACGTTATATGACCTGGACCAATAGAAAGTCTGAATTTTCTGAATGGTGCTTTGAATTTACAGCATTTAATATATATTCCTATAATTTTATAATAATGTATTCTTTTAATTTATCTTTATTGTTGAAAGTGTTACAGATTCCCCCAATGACCCTTTCTAGCCTGCCCCTGCCCTGCCCCTGCCCCAGGCCTTCACCACACTATTGTATGTGTCCATCGGTTATGCATATATGCATAAAAATTCTTAGGTTAATCTCTTCCCACCCACCCCCACCTCCCTCTGAGATTTATCAGACTGTTCCATGTTTCTATGTCTCTTGTGTCTAGATTTATTTTGTTCATCAGTTTATTTTGTCCATTAGATTCCACATATGAGTGAGATCATAACATCGTTAAAATGTCCATACTACCCAAAGAAATCTATAGAGTCAATGCAATCCCTATTAAAATGCCAATGGCATATTTCACAGATCTAGAACAACTATTCCAAAAATTTATATGGAACCAAAAAAGACCCCCAATAGTCACAGCAATCTTGAGAAAGAAGAACAAAGTTGGAGAAATCACAATACCAGATATTAAGTTATACTACAAAGTCACTGTAATCAAAACAACCTGGTACTAGCACAAGAATAGGCATATAGATCAATGGAACAGACCAAAACCCCAGAAATCAACCCAAGCCATTATGCTCAGTTAAGATTTGACAAAGGAGGCAAGAGCAGAAAAGGGAGTAAAGACAGTCTCTTCAATGAATAGTGATAGGAAAATTGGATGGGTACATGAAAAAATAAAATGAAACTAGACAACCAACTTACACCATACACAAGAATAAACTCCAAATAGATAAAAGATTTAAATGTAAGTCATGAAACCATACAAATCCTAGAAAAAATAGGCAGCAAAATCTCAGACATCTCTCATAGCAATATGTTTATAGATATATCTCCTAGGGCAAAGGAAACTAAGAAGAAAATAAACAAATGAGATTACATCAAAATAAAAAGCTTCTGCACGGCAAAAGAAAACATCAACAAAATGAAAAGGGAGCTCACTGTATGGGAGAACATATTTGCCAATGATACATCTGGTAAGGAGTTAATATCCAAAATATATAAGGAATTTATAATAATTTGTATCCTTTTTAACTGGCCTTTGTAAATTAGGAGATAGAAAAATGACATGATTATCAAAAATAATTCTGTGAATATAGCCAAGAACTCTGAGAAACATTCAAAATTAAACTTCTTTTATGGAGAAAATATTAACATCACCAAGAAAAGAAAATAACCTTAATAAGGAAAGATCCATGACACAGTTCATCTGAGAACAGTCTCTATTTTGGCCAGAGATAGAAACAAAACAAAACTGAAGCATTTAAGTCAAAACTTGCATTTGTCTGGGCTCTGCCGTCTACTGTTTTTTTGTCCACTAAGAATAAGGGCTGCTTTGTGATACAAAAAGGCTCCAATTTTCCCAGTGCTTCCCCCACTCCCCTCCACACACACACACGCACATGCATGGCGGTGGTGGGGGGGCATTATTTCCTTCTCTTGTGATTCAGACAGGGCTGGGTTAAGAAGACACTAACATGGAGCACCACAGGTACTGGAGGTGATTGAAGTGAGGTACCCAGACCAGTGGCATCAATTTCTCCAGGAAACCTGTCAGAAATGCTACAGAATCAGAAGCTGGGCTGGAGCCCAGCAGTCAGGTTAAGTGACCCCTGCAGGTGACTCTGATGTCTGCCCGAGTTTGAGAACCTGATGTCTGAACTGCTCATTCAGGACAAAGATCAGGAAAATAGGTGAAAGCACCAGCTCACAGCTATGTCAGCTGTACTTTTTAGTTCTTGTCTTAATATAAAATGTGACATAAAATGAATGCACCATGAGTACCGACTTTTGATTCTTAAAAGGTATTTGAGCTTATCAAAGGAAACAAATATATTTAAAAGTTTGATAATTCAGTAATTAGTTTGATATAAAATCTATACTAATAAAAGGGTAATATGCTAATTAGACTAGACGTCTTCAGGACCTCCTTCTAGACAAAGCCACGGTGGCGGGGGCTGAGGCAGAGGCAGTTAGGGATGATCAGGCCAGCTGGGGAGCAGTTAGGTGGCGATCAGGCTGGCAGGGGAGGGCAGTTAGGGGGCGATCAAGCAGTGGTTAGGGGTGATCAGGCAGGCAGGCAGAGGGGTTAGGGTGATCAGGCAGGTAGGCAGAGTGGTTAGGGGTGATCAGGCAGGCAGGCAGGTGAGCGGTTAGGAGCCAGTGGTCCTGGATTGTGAGAGGGATGTCCGGCTGCCAGTTTAGGTCTGATCCCTGCAGGCAGTCAGACATCCCCCAAGTAGTCCCGAATGGAGAGGGTGCAGGCCGGGCTGATGGATCTCCTCCCCCCCTGTGCACAGATTTCATGCACCGGGCCTCTAGTACATAATATTAGTGGGTGGGTATTGCATGTAAAATAGATTTAACAACTTCATTTTTCTTAAAATGCTTATAAATTGGGATTCTTTAATAATGAAGCAAATTACATAATCAAGTTAGAATTAGTTTAAAAGTATCTACCTGGACTCATAACTATGAGGTATTATGACATGTAATTAAAAAAGCATATACTGCCCCTGTAGGGACCTTGCACACAATCATCAAGGAAAGAATAAACCAGGCATCACATCTTTGGACTTTAGTCCATTTGAAGAAATCACTGCTCTCAGTCATAGCTGGAAATATACCAAGGGGCTGAATAAAAGCAATATGGACCTGGAACTTCTTGTGGTCAGAGTAAGTATGCTTTCAAATGTAACCATCAAAGTGTTCACCTCAAAGTTCACTTCAAAGCCTGGTCACGGGAAGTCTCAAATACCTAAACAAATATATGATATTATTGTCCATTGGAACACAGTACACTAAAAGAGCTATAAGTCTAGAATCTGTACCAAAAAAAGGACATAGGTACTTTTAAGTGTGTGCATGAGTTTCCATTAATATTTACAGGAAGATGTTACATATTTATCCATTGAAAGTATTCAGTTTTAAAATTAAGTATATTCTAAGCTATGATTACTATAATCAACACCTGAGTTACCCATCACAAAATATAGAAAGGCCTACAGAAGATAGATTTAGGATAATGTCTTATTCTATTCAGGATGCAGTAACACAATGCCATGTATGGTGGCTTATAAACAACAGAAAATTCCTCACAACATTCTATAGCTGAAAAGTTCAAGGTAATGGCACTGTTAGACTCAGTGTCTGGTGAGAGCCCACTTCCTCATGGGTGGCACGCTCTCCTAGTGTCCCACAGGGAGCAAGGAACAAGGGAGCCTCTTAGGACTTTTTGATAAGGGCACTAATTCCATTTACAGTATAAGGGCTCAGTCCTCAGAACCTAACCTCCTCCCAAAGGCCCCATCTCCCAGTATCATCACTTTGGAGTTAGAATTTCAATATATAAATCGGTAGGGACACAAACCATTGCAATGCTGTTGCATAATTTTCAAGTGGAACAGTGATTACAGTATCCTATCTAATAAAAGACAAAAAGGGTAATTGACCGTACCTTCACTACGCTTCCCATTGGCTAATCAGGGCGATATGCAAATTAACTGCCAAGAAAGATGACGGTTAACCGCCAACAAAGATGGCAGTTAATTTGCATATGTAGGCGCAGGAGCAGTGAGCGAAGGCCGGCGTGGCGAGTGAAGAGCAAAGAGGGAAGCCCACCGTGCCGGCCTCCGCCATGCCCCCGGGGGCCCGCGGAGAGTCCACGGAGAGGACCGGGCCTCCCAAGCGGAGAGTCTCCGTAGTCAGATGGCGCAGTGTTGGGATGGGAATAAAGACAGAGGCAACTCAGACGCCTGGCGGTGGCATTAGACCAGCAAACAGGGCCTTTCAGCCTGGACTCAGGGTGGGGGTGGGGCGAGGGAGGTGAGCTGGAAATAGAGAACTACAACTCCCAGGAGGCTTAGCGGCCGGGGCTCAGGTGCCTGGCATGGAATCAGATGGGGCTTGTCGTTTTGCAAGCCACTTTAACCTAGAGGTTTGCAAGGTTGGAAGTTCTGCGCCGGGAGCCTGGGAGAAATGGAGCTGGAGCAGAGAGAGGGGACCATGGCAGCTGTGGGCTTTGAGGAGTTCTCAGCACCTCCCGGCTGGGAGCTGGAGCTGCCTCCGCTGTTCAGTGGTCACATCCTGGAGAGTGAGCTTGAGACCGAAGTGGAGTTCATGTCTGGGGGTCTGGGCAGCTCCAGCCTTCAGGAGCGAGATGAAGAGGAGGAGGCAGCCCGAGGCCGGTGGCTGCGCCAACGGGAACTCAATCGCATGAAGTACCAGGTGCTGGGTCGGCGCTGCAGGGAGATCGAGCAGGTGAACAAGCGGGTCCTGAACAGGCTCCATCAGGTACAGAGGATAACACAGAGACTCCAGCAGGAGCGGAGGTTCCTCATGAGGCTGCTGGACTCCTACGGTGAAGGCTACCAGGCCAGCCAGTTCACCATCTTACTGGAGGACGAGGGCAGCCAGGGCACAGACGCCCCCACCCCAGGCAACGCAGAGAACGAGCCTCCAGAGAAAGAGGGGCTGTCCCCCCCGCTGGCGGCGAAGAGCAAAGGCCTGGGTTCCAGGCACTGGAGGAAAACTGGTGCCAGCAGCCAGGGGAAGGGGCCCCCGAGGGGCCCCAGACTGCGAGAGGGCACAGGCCGGGCTGAGGGACCCACCAGAGTGCACAAATTTTTGTGCACCAGGCCTCTAGTTGGTAATAATGATAGTATATCACATTAAAATAGAGAAAATAGGTTAAGAATATGTATATTACATATATCTTATTAGTTATTTTCTATATAAAAGGTAAAATTATGTAGTTATGTATGCCTCAGATTATTTTTTATTATATTTTACTGGGGAACAGAACACAATCACATCAATATATGATTAGACTACACATGATAGGGGCAGGAGGAACATGTTTGGGGCTGGAAGGTACTTGCTCACACAAGTGGGACATAGAGGAAGAAAAACAATATTAGCACATTAGAAACCATTACAGAGAATGAGGAACTGCAGAGGCATTTTAAAACCTGTGCAGAACTTAAGACTGAAGCCATATGGGAAAACAGTTGTGGATAAAAGCAAAATCAACAAGTTTTCAATTATATTCTTCACCAGTTATATTTTCACCACAAACATATTGTCTGCCTTACAACTGCTCTCTTCATTGCACTCAGCTCATTTTTCACAGCAGAGGTTTGACCCCCAAATGTATAAGATAAGGCTATGGCAAGACTTTTATCTATAGACTTAGAGGCCCAGTGCATGAAAATCGTGCCTGGGTAAAATCCCTAAGCCTGGCCGGTGATCAGGACCAATCGGGGCCTTCTGGCTGCCGGCCAGGGCCTTCCTTTGTTCTGCACCACCCCTGGTGGTCAGAGCACGTCATAGAGAGCGATCAAACTCCGGGTCTCCCAGTCAAACTCCCAAGGGGACACTTTTATACATATTAGCCTTTTATATATTGTATATAGATTCATCCTTTTAGATGTGGATAGATATAAATTCCTTTATGTAAGAATTTTTTTCTGAGAAAGAAAGCATTTCTTAAAGTGAAGGACTCATAATTTCAGAGCTCTACAGCCATTCAAAAGATCACTCCTTTGTAAATGAATTAACTGCCATGCTTTTATTGGCATTATTGCCTCTATTTCCAACAGATTGGGAAAATGATAGACAAGTTAAAGCAGAGTTCTCCCCAACAATATTTAACTTTTTTCTACATACATTCAGGTTATTAGGAAAGAGAAAAATATGGACTCATATCTTCTGAGAAACCTAGTAATCTCATGGACAGCAAGACTTGACAGGCATAATAGTATGCTGTTCTTTGAAGTTCCATTTGGCAAAGTTTTGAGATTGGCAACTAGTTAATACAGGTCTACTTTCCTTTACTGAAACCTTGGAGCCAGATGTATCTGAGAATTTGGATAAATTTTCAGATGCAAAAAATTTTATGGCACATTTGCTGTATAATATGTAACTTCCCACAGATGGTTCTGAGATAGCATCCTATAATCAAACACATTAACATATCTGCCATAAAGTCACACTAAGTTATTATTAACTAGAGGCCCAGTATACGAAATCCATGCACAGGTATGGTCCTTAGGCCTGGCTGGCAATCAGCACTGATCAGGTTCCCCACCTCCCCACCTCCTTCTTCCCTCGCTCCTTCAGCACCGCACCACAGCCGCTGGTCGCCTGCCATGTTACACACTGCCCCCTCGTAGTCAGCGCACGTCATAGCGAGCGATCGAACTCCTGGTCTCCCAATAGAACTCCCGAGGGGACAATTTGCATATTAGCCTTTTATTATATAAGATACACTCTGATTAACCTCTTGTGAACTCAAGACAGGTAATGGCTCCAAATTTTAAAAAAAGACAATTTTAGAGATTTTTGAAATTTGAAATGACAACTAAAAATTGTCAACCCGAAGAACAAAAATCATTGTTATTATTTACTATTATTACTATTGTTATTGTTTATACTGCTTTTCATGTGGCAAACACATAGTAAGTGGTTGACAAAACACTTATTAAATCCTCACAAGAGTATTTTATATACATAATCAAAACCCATTTTAAGAAATTAAAGTGTCAGACTCCTACAAAGGAACAGTCAAGATTCTAGTCTATGAATGACCAATCCATAAAAGTTCCCACTATTCCCTTCTTCCTTTTTCTTATTGCATACTGTGTATTTAATGCCTACTATGCGTCAGACATTTTTTTTGACACTTGATAGACAACAAGAAACAAAAATGCTCTGCTCTCATGGGATGGGGGGATGGAATAGACAAAAATACATTTAAAAAAACTATAAAGTAGTAATAAAAGTAATCCTATATAATAAAAGCCTAATATGCTAAGTGAACGACCATTAGACTATTCGACCAGTCACTATGATGTGCACTGACCACCAGGGGCAGATGCTCTGACCAGTAGGTTAGCTTGCTACTGGAGTCCAGCCGATGAAGACTGGGCAAGAGGGCCAGACACGCCCTGGAGCCCTCCCACAGTCCCTCCACGACCCCCAAGTAATCCTATATAATAAAAGCCTAATATGCTAAGTGAACAACCGTTAGACTATTTGACCAGTCACTATGATGTGCACTGACCACCAGGGGCAGATGCTCTGACCAGTAGGTTAGTTTGCTACTGGAGTCCAGCCGATGAAGACTGGGCGGGATGGGCCAGACACGCCCTGGAGCCCTCCCACAGTCCCTCCACGACCCCCATCGTGTACCGGTGGGGTCCCTCAGCCTGGCCTGTGCCCTTTGGCAATCTGGGACTCCTCAGGGGATGTTGGAGAGCTGGTTTCAGCCTGGTCCCCACAGGCCAGTCTGAGGACCCCGACTGGTGCACGAATCCGTGCACCAGGCCTCAAGTGCAGTATAAGGACAGTGTACTGGTGGGGTCCCTCGGCCTGGCCTGTGCCCTTTGGCAATCTGGGACTCCTCAGGGGATGTTGGAGAGCTGGCTTCGGTCTGGTCCCCACAGGCCAGTCTGAGGGACCCGACCGGTGCATGAATCTGTACACCAGGCCTCAAGTGCAGTATAAGGACGGGGCCAGACACGCCCTGGAGCCCTCCCATGGTCCCTCCACGGCCCCCATCGTGTACTGGTGGGGTCCCTCGGCCTGGCCTGTGCCCTTTGGCAATCTGGGACTCCTCAGGGGATGTTGGAGAGCTGGCTTCGGTCTGGTCCCCACAGGCCAGTCTGAGGGACCCGACCGGTGCATGAATCTGTACACCAGGCCTCAAGTGCAGTATAAGGACGTAATAAATAAGGATGTGGAGACACAGACATATTTACTAAAGGGTTAGAGAAAAGGCCTCCCTAAGCACTTTGAGCAGAGAACTGAATAAACTGAAGGAAGTGTGGTAACTGGGGAAGAGCATTGCAGGTAGAGGGAAGAGGAAATGCAAATGGCCTGAGGTGGAGGCAGCCAGATAAAATACCAATGTGTTCCATGATGCCTGTGCATCCCTGTTTGTTGCCAGTATGCCCCTTGTAATACTTGGAACATACTTATAATGAAAAATATTTGATATTTATCTGAAATGCAAATTGAAATAGGTGTCCTATATTTTTTACTTCTCAATTTGGCAACCTTTTTTCAGGTAAAAATGTGCTTGCCTTAACACAGGGACAGAAAAGAGGCTGAGTAAGGAGGCCAATGTGGCAAGAACAGAGTGATCTCGAGAAGGGAAGTATCATGAGCCACATGTTTATATGGAGCACTCGAAATGTGGCAGGTCAACACTGAGATGTGCTGTGAGTCTACAGCACAACCTCAATATGAAAGCCATTGTAGGAAATTGAAGGTGAAATACCTCATTAATAATTTCTCATTTTGATGTACTGCTGGATCTGATTTGCTAGAATTTTGTTGAGGATTTTGGCATCTATGTTCATGAGGGATATTGGCCTGTAATTATCTTTCATTGTGTTTGTTGTCTTTATCTGGTTTTGGTATTAGGGTGATGTTGGCTTCATAGAATGAG